TGGGATAACTGCTTCCACAGTGTTGTCCAGGCACCATCCCGGAGGCTTCRCTGCCATTTCAGAGACTCACTCACAATCTCAGCTGCTGGTTTATAATCCGAATTGATATGCTGACTTTAAATCTGAATTGTTTGCACGGTAGATTATAGTTTTGGGAAGGCAATGGATAGTACTGCAGACAAGTGCAATTTTGTCTTGTTTTTATTTAATTTTGATCTGTTTTCAGTCCAGAAAGAGGCAGAGTGAGGCTGTCAACGGGTTGTGATGTGTCAGCACGTCTGTCTGTGCTGATCCTGCACTAGAGTGCCCCTGTAACATCCCCGAGCCCAATAAACACTGCTGGTGCCCTGCACACAGCATTGCTGGTCCGTGGTTTCCTTTATCCAGCAGCACTTGCCAGCGTCTTGCATAAATAAGAACATTGTTAAGCTGCTAGAGTCTGGCCTGTGAAAACACGTGGCTCATCTCACTTCTCCAAGGCTCTTACGATGCTCTGCAGTGAATGGTATCGAGCTGTCTTTGCAAAGTATCTGGACAGCAGAAAAGAAAAAGCAGTGAGGACTGTAACGCAGCCAAGTCCACTCACTTTATTCGATGGGCATCTGAGGTGAGCGCACGTTGATTCAGATGTGAGGGCACGGCGTGGCTGTGAGGCTGAAGAGCATTTGGGCAAGGGTGTCTGCCAAGCAGCCCTCCTGACGAGGAGCCAAAGGAGGACTTAGCTTTGGGATTCTTCTCTCTGGCACATACCACTCMAGACAAACAGCTGCCCACTGATACATTTTGGAAACTGAAGGACAGATACGCGYTGATTATCTGGGCCTGACTACGCAAAGGCAGAAATATTCTCAGGGCRCAATTCCAAAGATGGGTACTGGCAAGATGTAAACTTGTCCACTATATGAAGTAGAGAGTGTGTAGAGAAAAAAGGGGTTTTGAAAACAGTCTGAAGAGCACAGTATTTTTCTAATTTTTGGGAAAATATTCAAAGTTTAAATAGAAAATCTTTTTTTTTCCCCATATATTCATTGATTTCAGGGTATATTTAAATACTAAATGTGTTAGTGTTTATAGAGAAGCGTGTYGTGTTTCCATTTTACATTAACATTTAAAGTTAGAGCGAACTATCTCTTCAAAAGCTGAGTATGATTACCTGCCTCACTATGCCAGATTGGGAAAGAAAAACAATTACTTTTCCACATCTTATACTCCTCTCCCCAGAAAACATATTCTAGGGGGAAAAGGCAAGGTATCTGTAAGATATACAAATTGGAAAAAAAAATGCTCATTGGAAAGTATTCTTATTTTTCTTTTATGGAAAGAAATGGTGAGCATGTACTTTAAGATAGTTGGGACTCTTTGTTATCTGATACAAATCCATGCATCCCTGCAAATATCATGTCCACCCCACAATTTGCAGAAGATGTAACCTGATCACAGCAAGAGCTGAGCTGTGAAACAAGAGAGCGCACCCGGGCATCAGCAGGAGTCTTGCGAAGTCCTGAGGCGCGCAAAGACGGGAGACCATTTGGTGGAGGCCTTCAGAAGCGAACCGAAAGCCTTACGAAGCACATGGAAGAGCAATGGTGTTAGCAGCATGTGTTCAAAAAGTGCTGCTGCAGCACTGACCAGCCTGGAGAGAAAACCCTTAAAAAAAAAAAAAAAAAAAAAGAGAACCTGCATTATAGAAATCTATCAAAAGAGCCACTGCAAAAGCCAAGCTCATTTCCATGAGCTATATAGTCTCTATTTATGAACACCTGGAAATCCTTGGAAAATTAACAGGAGATGTTCAAACGGTTGAAAAGTTGGAGTCTCTGCTAAACTCTATGTTAGGGTGCACCAGGCAAGCATCCCAGCCCACCAAGCACCGTGCCCTGCTTCCCTGCCCCTTGCCAGCAGCAGCCGCACTAATCCCGCGTCGCTTGCTTCTGAAATCCAGTTCATAGCAACTCAGCAGSCAGCAAGTTTGTGTAAGGCACTAATGTAAAGAGATGTTAAAAGTTAAATATTTACCCAGACATTTCAGTAAAGATGAAAAGCATAATTGATAATTTATTAAACAGTGAAAATGCTRGTAGAGTATTTTATTTATAAGCACATTTGAAAATCTAGCTAACTTCTCAATTTTGTAGAAGACAGAGTAGCTTTTAGAGAACACAACCTTTAAAAAAATAATTGTTTTTTATTACAAAACCTGAAAATAGTATCAGTCTTCTCCTCTCTGCCTGACAGTTTTTATCATCTGCTTTTAGCTGAAGTAAAAGCCATGTCTTGAAAACTGTAAATCACAGAAAACTCGTCACACCCTGCAAACCAGGTGRCCAGCTCTTAGAGGCCTGGCAAGGCATTAGACATTAGACATGCAGCCTTCCGAGGCAGAGGGGGCTTTTTCCTTCACGTCTGCAAGAGCAAGTCGTGATTTCAGACTCCAGAGACAGACTCGAGAGCAGACACACTCAAGAGGAACATTCTGAAGCAYTCTTGCTGAATTTATGGGTCACAGATGCTCCACATCCCCAAATTCAACGGCAGGCAGGAAGCCTTCCTTTAAYAGGCACAGGAGACAGAAGCTGTTACCTTTGTGTAGCTGTTCCCACACATCCCACAACCCTAGCAGGAATTACAGCATCCCTGCGCTTTTGAAGAGAAGTCCAAACGGAAWGCAAATACTGTCAGGATRCATGTGGATGTCAGTCCTGCAAAAACCATCCTTTAACCAAACTAAGTAATACAYRTGCATATATATATGTATGCACATACGTGCATGTATRCATGCATACACAGGTATTTATATGCATACATATAGATATATAAAAACAACTGGCCATTCTTTATGCCATCTGTCACAGATTAATAACAGCAGAACYGTCCCCAGATACCATCAGTCATGTTTGGATTGCTCAGAATCTGACTATGGCAGATCGGAATCTATATGCAGCACGAAGTAGTTCATATGCTTCTTATTAAAGGTGCTCAAACTGAATACACTGCTCATTATTTGTCACAATTATGTATAATTACATATTAATGAGAACTTCAAAATTATAGCTAAGAACATGCATGATAAAATCTTTTTATATAAAATACATTTGCATTTATCTAAAGCAATATCAAGGGAAACGATTAGAAAGAGCTTTTATGACTTCTTAAGATATGCACATCCACTATAAACTAATATTGTAGCCACTCTTCTCACGCAATTTTTAGAATCTTGAACAGCCATGGTCTAACACGACTATGCAARTTATGGTAATCTGGGGCTCATCTGGAAAAACCTAAACCTAAAGTAACTCCTAACTCAAATAATCTGGTCCCTAGATTTGAGCTTACTGTTGCAGAATTATTCTCACTCTGATTGCAAGAACTAGTGTTGAAAAATTCACCTGAAGGATTGACCAGTATTCTGAAGCAGGAAAACCTACTTCAGAACTACTCAGAAAAATTGTAGCTACTTTCATGTTATTGCAGGATTTGATGCCAAGCACTTCGTTTTCACAAATCCAAGACTGGACAGCAACAGCAAAATAACCTGCTGACACGTCACTGTTAATGAATGAGACACTGTTCACAATGATGTCTCTTTGTCATACACTTGGTAGTAGATGTCATTGAAGCAAAAGTCTAATTCAAGCAAAGAAGACGTGTTTCCACCCTAAGCACTTACAGAGTACTATTGAGATCTATGAAACTGAGGATTAAATGCTATTTAAAGCCCACTGTGCCACTGAGTGCAGGTAGGCWCTTGCACTGGTGCCAGTAGCTCTGGGGCTTTGTGGAAATGCCCCTCCGGCCTTCCACTTGGYAGAGGGCAGATCAACATTGAGGTTTAGACTGGTCCACTAGGGCTTAGAAGGTGCAAAACTATAGATCTACAGCTTAAACTAGCAGCTAAACTGCCTAGGTCTATGAGAGCACAGAAGAGTCTACGTTAGACATGCACTCTGAGGAGCATGTGCCTGCAAAATCAATCATGGATTGATTGACCTGCAAGTGCCTGACAGAACCCCCTCAGGGAAGGCATCTTCTTTCAGTCTTACAGTTCATCTGATCCAAAATTTCATTTCCTTGTTACACACTCCCGCTCCCTCCAGCTTCAGCAGGATCTCACACCCATGCATCACATGCAGCAGCCCCGTATCTATAGCTACCCAAATCCTTGCACACATCCCCCAGCTCCGCACTCCCACAATAAACCCACACCTGTACACACACCCCCAGAGCCACATCGCACCGAGAAGATATACACACACAACACACCCATTATCTTGCCCCACAATCTGTTGCAGATATATACATATCTGTAGTCACATATATACGCCATATCTCATTCACTAAACCCAGTACATGCTACCAATGGCATGCAAGAAGCCCAATCCTTGCAGCAGCCAGTGTGTGCTGCCTGAAGAGCCCTGCACCCAAGGCTCTGGGTGTATGTGCAGCAAGTAAGTGCGTAAGTGTATGAGTGTCGGCACGAGTGCATACGAAGTGCACATGCAGGGTAAGTACACGTGGCGCACACATAAGGGAGTCTGTGCGGGTGCAGCACGCGGGTGCATAGGTGAATGTGCCATATATGCAGATGCTTATGTGTGAGGAGGCGGCGTGATTGCATGCCTAGGTCAAACACTCAAGTTTACATGTGTATGCCCTGTACTCACAGCCTGCCTTCAGTAAATCCAGTCCCAGTGAAAGCCCACGCACACGGTGGGACCACCCAGGGGGCACGCGTGTGCACGGATCGCGCGAGCAGGTGCGTGTGCCCGCGCCGCACACAGTGGGATGCGGCGTGCGGGGCTGCCCGGCAGCGCCGGTGCCCTCCCTGCGCGGGGAAGGCGCACACTGCGTGCGCGGGACTCCTCGCGTGGACGTGGTGCCTGCGCCTGCCGCGGGAGCCCCTCGCGGCAGCAGCCGAGCCCCGCGGCGCCGCGCTGGGCGTGCGCGGGCGGCCCCGCGGGCGGGACGCGACGGGACGCGCCGGGACGGGGCTGCCGCGGTACCTGCCGAAGTGTCCCAAGGAGTCGAAGAGGCGCTCGGAGCTGGCGGCCATGGCGGGGCGGCAGCGAGCCGGGAGCCTCCGTGTGGCCGGCCCGCGGTGCGGGGAAGAGACACGCTGCGCTGCGCTGCTCTCCGCTGCGCTGCCGCCCCGCGCGGCGCCCC